GGATACAACGACATCGCATGATGTAGTGCTATCCGTGCTCATGTTACGAAACGTAATAATCATATCACGACTGTGTATTGGTAAGTGATGATGTGGCTCCTCGCATTATCGTCTTAGCCATCAGCCATAACGTCCATCTGCAAGAAAAGCAGTGATCTTTGTCATCAGAGCGTGTTGGCCATCAGCCATAACGTTCATCGGCAAAAATAGCAGTGATCTTTGTCATCAGAGATTACAGAGGTAGACCTTGCCGTGATGGACCATCAGCGGGGACTGGGCGCCTGTGGCCGTGAGCACCCGCAGATGCCCTCTGTCCGGCGATGGACCATCAGCGGGGACTGGGCGCCTGTGGCCGTGAGCACCCGCAGATGCCCTCTGTCCGGCGATGGACCATCAGCGGGGACTGGGCGCCTTGTGGCCGTGGGCACCCGCAGATGCCCTCTGTCCGGCGATGGACCATCAGCGGGGGACTGGCGCCTGTGGCCGTGAGCACCCGCAGATGCCCTCTGTCCGGCGATGGCCATCAGCGGGGACTGGGCGCCTGTGGCCGTGAGCACCCGCAGATGCCCTCTGTCCGGCGATGGACCATCAGCGGGGACTGGGCGCCTGTGGCCGTGGGCACCCGCAGATGCCCTCTGTCCGGCGATGGACCATCAGCGGGGACTGGGCGCCTGTGGCCGTGGGCACCCGCAGATGCCCTCTGTCCGGCGATGGACCATCAGCGGGGACTGGGCACCTGTGGCCGTGAGCACCCGCAGATGTTCGCTGCCATTACGCCCCCCCCCCCCTCGCCCTTCCCTCCCCCCTCGGCGGCGGATCTTCGGCAGGTTTGGCGTAGAGCTCACCTCTTCACGGTAATGCGAGTGCACCGCTCCAGAGGGCGCTCTCTGCAGCACGTGGCATGCCTGCTGCGCCGATCTTGGACCCGCACCCACCGACCTGTGATCGGCGTTTCCGGCTGTGAGCCTCGCTGGCGTTGGCAGCGGGAGCAGCTGCGCGGCTCTCGCCGCCGCGGGTCGGTGCTCTCCGGCCTGACCGCCGCCGCCGGGCTGAGCCCGCACTGACGGACCTCATCTGCCCGGTGTCACGGGGTGGGGCTACTGACTGACTCACTGACTGACTGACTGACTGAATGGATGAGTGAGTGAGTGAGTGACTGCTAACGGAAGCCGGCGCAGGCTGTCTGTCATAGAAAGCTGCCGGTGGTGAGGCCATGGGTTCAGCGAAGTTGTGCGGCAGTTATATATATATATATATATATATATATATATATATGTATAAGTTTTTTGCATGCTTGATGCATCGTTGTCAAAGGGTCAAAGACAACTTCACTCATATGGCTGCGATGTTTTATGCTGTAACGTTACGAGACTTTATCTCATCGCCGGATTTCCGGGTAGGAGAAATATAACTGGCACAAGGGATAAGTTTTGTTTTTGGACGAAAGTTGTGCATCTGTACATTTATAACATGCTTTTATGGTTATGTAGTGTTAGTACTTGAATGCGTACAAGATACATTAGTATCGCTAAAGCAATACGAAAACACATGGCCATCACCGAGGTGCTGGCTTTCGCCTTTACAGCATCAAGGCAAAGTATTTTTTGCACAAAATTACCCATACATTCGCCGATATTTTGTGCTCACTTTCGAGACCTTATTTCATCGTTGGAGTAATATAGCTGACGCAAGCGATGAGCTGCTTGATCACGAACAGTAAGTAGTTTCTTTTCACGTGATTGTTGGCTGTGGGCATTTGCGATGTTTCTTCCTTACCGATGGATTTCTTCGCATTAACAGATGCTAAAAAGATATGTATGCACGCCTTTCTTCCTTAAAAGTGAAGCTCATCGCTTCTTCCAGGTATAGTTCTCCGACGCTGAAAAAATAGCTCGAGACATTGGAACATATCATATTGATGATTGTATTAGTGATTTTGTACGAACAACATTTTCCCTTAGTGATACCGCGAAGACAAAAGTCCGAAACTTTGAAAGCTTATTGATGCGAAATCGATGGTCGCTTTCAATTAAGCCTATTTTTGTGCACGCCTTTTGTGCACGCTTTCAATTAAGCCTATATAGTGCACGAGCGATGAGTGGGGGGGGGGAGATGCGATTAGCGGTCGGCATGATATAGAGCGTGTTTGGATGGAGCAACAAAGCGCGGTTTTGAAAGAGGATTAGATTACCTCGGAAGGCGGAGGCGCAAGACCGAAACATTTCAAATCCTGTCGTACATGGAACACACACAATTTTGGCCGAGCCCTTCCAAAATGTCTCATCCCTATCGCCGCCGATATCGCAGACACAACCACTTGATAATCAAGACAACCCCTTCACATCGCCAAACTGTCGAGAATGACGTAAATCCCATCTCCGTTACAGGCGGGGAAAGTTGTGGAAAAGAGTCCAAGTCCAATTCTGCCTGGAGATCATCGAATATCGATCAGATCTCTGGCGCCGCCGCCCCTGTTCTGGGTGGTTCCGCAGCGCGCCGAGGGCCATCACAGGTCTGAGAGCTCTGCGCGGTGGAGCGAAGCTGCCGAGCGGCCAACCGGGCCGAAATGGGGGCCCGCCACGGTCGGCGCGGTGCGAGCCTCTTCAGCCGCGCCGACTGCGCAGGGAGTGGCCGATCGTAAACACGGTGGGATGGAGGCATCGCGCTATACCTGGCTAGGCCGAGCAGGCCTGCCCTGACCTGACCTGCCCTGACCTGCCCTGACCTGACCTGACCTGGCCCAGTGTGGTCTGAGAGGACAGTGGTGTGACCTGGGCTCACACCGCTCCGCTGCTGGTGCCCCACATGACCTCATCCAGTGCTGACCGCTGACTCGTGTGAGCTGATGCCGTCTGACCTGCCCTGATCTGTTCTGGGTACTGGCAACAAGCCTGGCCTGACCTGGCCCGGCCTCACCCCACCCAGACCGGGTCTGATCTCGCACCGATTTGTTCTGGTCCAGATCTGACCTTACCTGACCGGATCCTTCGCCTGCCTGACCCTGGCGTGACCTGACCCGGCGCGGCGCCCTCGGCCGGCCGCCCGGCTCGCCGCTGCACTGAATGCCGGTGGCCGGCCGGCCGGCGCGCCGGCGGGAGACATCAACGCTGCGCGGCCAGTGTGACAGTGCGCGCGGCCGACGCCGGGCGCCCCGCCGCAGCCGCGCCCGCGCCCGCCCCGCGCCCTCGCCCCCGCCCCCGCTCCCGCCCCCGCCCGCCGACCGGGCACCGCGGTGTGAACAGGCGGTGATGTGCCAGTGCTGACGGTGCTCAGTGGGTGACCCGTGACTGGACCTGGCCGGCGAGGAGCTCGGACCGTCGTCCTCGGCGCGGCCGTTCGCGCCGTATCGATCTCGACGAGCGCCGCCGGTCGCCGGTCGTCGCTCGACGCAGGGTGAGTGCGGGGTCGGGTGTGACGACCTGCGGTCGCCGTCACTCGCGGGTGGCCGCCCGGCGTCGCTCGTGACGGACGTGATGAAGTGTGAGGGTGTGACGTGACGGGCAGATTGTTTGACAGCGGGGCTGCTGTTCGGCAAACTGTTTGCTTTGTTCGTTGTCACTTGTCTGACCTGACTTCCGGATGATGCGTCGAAGCCTCTGCGCCTCTGGCAGCGGGCGACCCTCCTGAAACAGTGCGACACGCACTCCCAAAATAAACGGCCGCCGCCAGTCGAGCGGCCGTTCGGGCGCGCGTGGCGTGGGGAAAGCAATGGGCCGTCGGTTCTGTCGCCTCGCCTCTGTCCCGTGAATAGTATAGCCCATTGCTTAAGCTTATCTGAGGCTCCTGAAAAAAACACGGGCACTCACTGTGTTTTCCACTGCGCCCACTCCGGTCGTAGGCCTACACAGCCGCAAAGAAAAATAAAGGAACAATATGAGCTTGTGCTCGCTCACTGACGCACAAGATCCCACACTATCTCCAACTTCCCCGGCGGTAGACGAGCGCCGCATGGTGTCGTACTTGAAAAACAAGCCGATTCTGCTAGACTTGTCCATTGTCATTAGTTGAAAGCGCATCGAATTTCATTGCCCATTCATTCATTACTCGTCAGCCATCTTTGACGCGCTCGTCTCAGGCTGCGACCCACGCAGTCTCGAAGCTGTACACAGTTTCTCCACTACGGACTTTTACGCCATTAATGGATGCGCCCAGCACTATACATAATTACCTCCTCACTGACAAGGCCCGGTCCTTTTCCCAGCAATCACAGCCTCATCGTCCCGCCCTACCCGTCCGGCACAGCTCGGCACATCACGCCAAACACGCGCATCGATCACAAGAAAATCTCTTTTGCCGATGCGGCGGCACGAGCGCCGGGATCGAGATGGCACGTGCCACACCATTGACGGCACGGCCCCCGTGGGACCCGTGCCGCTGCTCCCCCCCCCCCCCCCCCCCCCCCCCTCCCCCTCACTGGTCCGGGTTCGTCGATCGATGCGTCGGCGCCCAGCTGGTCGGCGCCTCAACCCTCCGCCGCGTCGATCCCGGCGCGCGCCGTCCGCCGCCGCCGCCGCCGCCGCCGCCGGCGCGGCCGCTCGTCCCGGCGGCGGCGGCTGAGCGCCGTGCCTGACGCGGTCCCGTCCGTCCGCGCCGGCGGCCGTGTGAACCGACTGGCCGCCCGCCGGCCGCCGCGACACCGTACGCCGCCGGCCGCGACGCCGCCGACGGCCGCGGCGCCGTCGGTCCGCTCTGCTCGTCGCGAGAGTCGGGACCGCCTGGCCGGCTGGAGCGGGATCTCCTTCGCGGCGGGAAGCCCGCGCCGACGGCGGCTGCAGGCGGCTGCCGCTCGCGTCGGACCGGCTCGTGGCCAGATGCCCAGCCCGGTGGCAGGTGGTGGGGTTTCGCCGCGGTGGAGACGACCGCTGTGGCGGCGGCGTTGATGGCCGTTTTAGAAGGCTTTTTGTGTGGAGTGCGTTCAGCGCCGGCACGAGGGCGTGAGCGTGGTTCCGTGTTCGGTTGGAGGGACAAGTGGAGCTCGTCGAAATGTAACGAGAAGCAGCTTTGCCTGTCAAGTGTGCCGGTAAGTCAGAAGATTTATGTAGTCGCCTTCTTTTGTGAATAAATCAGTGTATCGAGGAGGAAAACCCGGTCGGTTTTTCTATGAATACCTTATTGAACCTGCTGGTGAATTCACGGAAAGGCATGCAAGAATCAACGTCGCCATTGATGAAAACAGATTCCAAACAGCGTTGAACAGAGTTTGATTTCTTTTCTCCACGTCCCGCTTTCAGACTGGTGCCCTTTCCACCGTGTGCAGGGCGTGAAAGTTATTGGCAGCGTCCCTCACGTGTTCGCAATTTGTGCAACTCACTATGGCGCCTGCTTGCAGCGCCGTTGCGCAGGAAAGCCAGCCCACCTGAAACCCGGCACAGTTCTAGCTGCACCACATTCGCGAGAGCAAAATCCGGGAACTTCCTGTGAAGGCTGCGGTGGCTGCCGCCCCTCCCCAGTCCTGGGGGGGGAGAGGGAGCGGGGGGGAATCACGGACGCTGTCATCACGGAACTGCGGCAGAGAACACGTGCCGGCCCGGAAAGCGAGCCTGCACCGGGCGGCGGTTACGGGGGAGGGAGCTGTAACGGACACGAACACGTGCCGTCACGCGGGAGCGTGCCGGGCGCTGGACGGAGGGCGCTCCTCTCAGTGGTACGACAGGAGCGTGCCGGGTCGACGGGTCGGCCGAGGCGGCCTCCGCACTTGTGCGGGCCGAGAGCCGGTGACGGTCTCTGCTAGCAGTCGGTCTCCCTGCCCTGGCCGAGAGCCGGTGGCGGTCTCTGCTAGCAGTCGGTCTCCCTGTCCTGGCCGAGAGCCGGTGACGGTCTCTGCCAGCAGTCGACCTCCCTCACCCTGGCCGAGAGCCGGTGACGGTCTCACCTAGCAGTCGGTCTCCCTGCCCTGGCCGAGAGCCGGTGACGGTCTCTGCCAGCAGTCGACCTCCCTTGCCCTGGCCGAGAGCCGGTGACGGTCTCTGCCAGAAGTCGGCCTCCCTACCCTGGCCGAGAGCCGGTGACGGTCTCTGCCAGCAGTCGACCTCCCTCGCTCTGGCCGAGAGCCGGTGACGGTCTCTGTCAGCAGTCGGCCTCCCTGCCCTGGCCGAGAGCCGGTGACGGTCTCTGCCAGCAGTCGGCCTCCCTGCCCTGGCCGAGAGCCGGTGACGGTCTCACCTAGCAGTCGGTCTCCCTGCCCTGGCCGAGAGCCGGTGACGGTCCCCGCCAGAAGTCGGCCTCCCTCACCCACGGCCCCGTCCATCGGCGAGCTCACCTGTCCAGCGTTTGGGGCTTGCGGGGCTTTGGTCTCTGTACTTCTACACGTTGCCAAAATCCTAGGGTTCCATTTTCCCAACTATTGCGGTGGCCCCACTGATACCAGTTGTCAGCGTCCAGGACGGCCTCGATCCCTGGAGCTGCACTGCAGGACTCAGGGCGCTGGATTCCGGTCGTCAGCTCGTGACAGCCGTCCAGGACGGCGCCGGTCGTTGGAGCTGTCCGGCAGGGTTCAGGGCGCTGGACGTCGGCCGTCAGCCCGTGACAGCCGTCCAGGACGGCCTCGATCCCTGGAGCTGCACTGCAGGGTTCAGGGCGCTGGGTTCCGGTCGTCAGCTCGTGACAGCCGTCCAGGACGGCCTCGATCCCTGGAGCTGCACTGCAGGGTTCAGGGCGCTGGGTTCCGACCGTCAGCTCGTGACAGCCGTCCAGGACGGCCTCGATCCCTGGAGCTGCACTGCAGGGTTCAGGGCGCTGGGTTCCGACCGTCAGCTCGTGACAGCCGTCCAGGACGGCCTCGATCCCTGGAGCTGCACTGCAGGGTTCAGGGCGCTGGGTTCCGACCGTCAGCTCGTGACAGCCGTCCAGGACGGCCTCGATCCCTGGAGCTGCACTGCAGGGTTCAGGGCGCTGGGTTCCGGTCGTCAGCTCGTGACAGCCGTCCAGGACGGCGCCGGTCGTTGGAGCTGTACGGTAGGCCTGGACGTCGGCCGGCAGCTCGTGTGTGATCGCCGTCAGCCCGGCCCCGGGCCGTCGGCGCCGGCCGCGCGCCAGCACCGACCGGCCAGGCGCTTCCCACGCCGCGCCGTGGCTGACCATCCGCGGACCCGCCACGGCTGCTTTGAAGCGGGCGACCTGCGGCCGGCGCCGGCGCAGCGGCACATCACCTGTGGCGCCGCCGCTCAAAAAGAAACTTAGCCGATCTGCAGTATATCAGGAGGAATTCGCTACATTTCAGAAAAGCGGACAGGTTTGGACATTAAACAGCATTTGCACCATGGGATAAAAGGCAGTGTCGATATAAACCCTCCTTTTTCACCGCGTCAGCGGTTCCGCATGATATCATGTGGGCCAGTCAATTTATTGCTGGCAGTTCCAAAAACAAGGGCTTGTGGCCTTCCAAGGCACGCCACACGGCTTAGCACATTGGTTCAGCCTTGACTGGATGGACATGGAGCACCCCTTATATCGTCAATGCGCTCTTTTACCTACTGAAGGCTTTCAAAATTTAAATGGGTTTTAGGCCGACAGACCTCAACGGCATCTCGGTAATGTGTGAGCACATGGACACTGGTGATCGGCTTAGAGCCCCAGCTTTGGAGCCCAGGTGGCCGGACATTGGCACTGAGAACTCAGATTGGGATCCGGCATGACGCAGGCCTGGTCGGGTCCCTTGTAACGCCACAAACGGAAGGCCGCACCGCCATTAAACAGGCAATGCGGCATACCGCCGTCCTGCTGCCTCCGCCGCGGCGGCGCCGCCGTGCGCGGGGCCACCCGGCTGCTGAGGGCTCCCCTCTCCCACACACGGCGGAGCGCCAGCCCCCAGGCAGTTCCGAAAAGGCTGACTGGGCTCTTCAGCCCGCCGCCGATCGGCGTAGGCCCCGGAGGGCGCGGCCCCTCGTGGATGATTCACCGCCTGCTGGTTTGATTCATCAGCCCGGTACCAACGTCAGCGCTGACGGCCGGCAGTCTTGCCAAAGGTGTCGGTTGTGATTGTCACCTGTTCGCGTACCTGAGTCAGCTCTGACTGCCGCCACCTGCGGTGGGTCATATCATTGTCACTCGCCTCAGTGTTGACGGTCACGGGTAATGGTGCCCCTGTTAGTCTGGGCTGTCGTCGGTCCTGTCGCCTGTGTTGCCTCGGACCGCCTCCGCCGGTGTCGTTTTCGACGGTCACCGGCTCCGGCGCCCGTGTCGACCCGTACCGCCTTCGCCTGTGTCGGTTTCGACAGTCATGAGTGCCGGCGCCTGTGTCGACCCAGACCTCCTCCACCGATGTCGGTTTCGACGGTCACCGGCTCCGGTGCCTTTGTCGGCTCGGACCACCTCCAGCGGTGTCGGTTTCGACGGTCACCGGCTCCGGTGCCTTTGTCGGCTCGGACCACCTCCAGCGGTGTCGATTTCGACGGTCACCGGCTCCGGTGCCTGTGTTGCCTCGAACCGCTTCCACCGGTGTTGGTTTCGACGGTCACCGGCTCCGGTGCCTGTGTTGCCTCGAACCGCCTCCACCGGTGTCGGTTTCGACAGTCATAAGTGCCGGCGCCTGTGTCGGCTCGGACCACCTCCAGCGGTGTCGATTTCGACGGTCACCGGCTCCGGTGCCTTTGTCGGCTCGGACCGCCTCCACCGGTGTCGGTTTCGACGGTCACCGGCTCCGGCGGCCGTGTCGGCTGAGTCAGCTCTGACCGCCATCAGTGCGTGACAGGTCCGCTCCCATCGCCCGCCAGACATCATGAGCGTGCTCGGCGCCGCCCCGTGAACGCATTAGCCAAATGAAAATAGACGTCCGTGTCCGAAGATGTTCACCCCGCCGCGCAGCGCCGTGCAAACAGCCTGCTCTCCGACAAAGCGACCCGCTCTCCGGAAAAGCGGCCCGCTCTCCAACAAAGCGGCCTGCTCTCCGCCTCCCCCCCCCCCCCCGTACTCTGCACTGTTGGAGGGGGCGCGGCGCCCTGCGCCGTCCGGCCTGCAGTCGCCGGACGCACGATTCCCGGGTGAGAGGGTCGGAGAAACTACAGCGGCCTGGTCGGCCCGGCTCAGTCGGCCCGGCTCGGTCGGCGCTGCTCGGTCGGTCCGGCTCGGTCGGTCCGGCTCGGTCGGCCCGGCTCGGTCGGCCCGGCTGGGTCGGCCTCCTTCTGGGCACAGCACGGCTTGACGGGGTCTGCTGCGGCGAGGGAGAGCCGACTGGCAGAGCACTGCGGAATACAGGCGCACCTCACCGGGCTGGAGCCTGGAGTAACACGGCCGGATCATGATGCCGTTCCGGATCCCCAGGCCCATGATCCACAGACAGCGTGTACCGGACGGTATGTACCCTCGGCCCGGGGCGGCCCGATCCGGGACGCCACCCCGCCCACGAGCCCGCGAGCGGGCCGGCGGCGACCTTGGCTGGAGCCTTTGATGGCGTCATTATCGGTCCGAGATCAGCCACACGGGGAAAACGCCGGCCGCGGCGGGGCGCGCACGGGCGGTGACCGGTTCCCGCGGACCCATCACCAGTCACCAGCGAACGGTGTCGTGTCGGGGTCTGGGTGCGGTCCAGCTGGTCTGACTGGACGGAGACTGGTGACAGACGAGGCCGGGACGGGTGACAGACGAGGCCGGGACGGGTGACACACAGGGCCGAAACTCGTCGCCAGAGGGGGGGGGGGGAGGGGAGAGACCGCTGCAAAAGCCGGACTGCGATGATGGGTGGCTGGGCGGAGACAGACTACCGATGCCCGAGTGGGGAGAGGACGGGTAAAAACAGGACGTCTGGTGAGTGATGCGCGGGACCAAGGTTAGTCCCCAATGGCTCGTGAGGACGGCTGTGACCAAATGGAGTCCTGTAGGACTCGAGAGGCTGTCTTTCCCTAAATTGACCCAAGAGGACTCGGAAAGACCGAAACTGGTCCCAGAAAACTTAAGGGGCTGCCCCCTCCCTCTGAGAGATGCTTTTGATAACTCGAGCGACCGAGGAGACAGGGAGCACTGCATCCATAGGAGTCGAGGGGCCGCCCCTGCTGAGGTGGTCAGTACACGTGAGACGTGCCTGACGTCAGCGGACCGAGGCCGGTCCATAAGAAGGAACGAAAAATCCGGACAACATGGCCCGGGCTCCGTCACCGCTCTGATCACAAACGGATACACCACGCACCAGCCACCGCTGCACCGCGGCAAAGGCGGCATGTCGCGCACCTGCACGAAGGAGCCCTCCTCGACCTCCGCCCCAGTTCTGACATCCGTCCGCAGTGATCGGCGCTGGGTCTGTTTACATCGACGTAGATAGTGGGCTCGGTCTTGCGCGGCGCGCGCGCCGGCCGGAGCAGTTGCCCCGCCCGCAGCTGGCGCGCTCTTCACGCCGGCCGTCGGCGCACCGCTGAGCCGGCGTGGTTAGAAAGTGGCGTGGGCCGTGGCCGCTGAACTGCGGCTGACCCGGTCGGAGCGGCCGGCCCGCGCGTGCTGCCGGAAGGAGGTCAGGCCGGCCGACGGCGCCGGCTGCCGCTGCCGCCGCCGCAGCCGGCGTACGTCGGCGCGACGAACATCGACCGCGCGTCGGCCCGACGACGGCCGGTCTGCGGAGAGCGCGCCACGGAGGACCCGGTCTCGCACTGGCTCGGTGCGTAGGCGTGATGTGAGTGAGCCTGTGCGAATGCGGCATCACGCAGACGCCAGCTCACGGATGCACGCACATTCGCGCGCATGCGCACTCGGAGTCTCCACCCAGGCGCACACTCAGCCATCCATGCATGTCAAACGCTCTCAGGCCGCGTACACAAGGAGGCAGTCAGCGACAGGACGCGGGGACAACACAAAGCACGCGGAAGTGAAAGTGGAGGAAGTCAAGAGAGCATCACCGTGGGAGAGCCGGCGAGGCGCGGCGTATTTCACCTGGCGGCACCCAGTGATCAGGTACAGCGGTGGGGCGCCACCGGCGACCCCGGGTCAGCGGCGCAGGTCACGCCCCGCCACCCCAGGTGCCACCCCGCCACCCCAGGCGTCACCTCGCCACCCAGGAGCGTGCGGATTAGCACCGTAGACAAGGCCGACGCGCAGAATCGGACCCAGCCGGCGCGAATGGCGCGGACGGCGCGCGTCGGTGGCCGAGCGATTGCCGGCAGCCGCGCCGTGACGGCCGCGTCGCGCCGATTATGAAGCGCCACGCTCCATCAGGTGGGGTCGGCGGGCGGCCGACGGCTCCCTGGCGGGCGCCGCGGGACCTGGCGACCCGCCTCTTGTCGGACAGTGGCCGTCTGCCTCGGGCGCCAGCGGAACGTCCCGTCGGAGCACCGCGCTGGTGCTCTCTACACACCGCACCGGCGGCCTGACCGAGCGCGGCAGCCTGTCTGCAGTGTTGCAGCCTCGCTCCGTGTGCCTTCCTCTCTCATGGTCAGCTGCACGCTGCGGCGCTCGCCCGATTCTTCCTGTTGATTGAGTCACTGCCTGCTTTTTACAAGGCCGCAGCCTCCAGGATCGGCTCGCTGAATGACGACGATGACGGGAGAGCCTGGCGCCGGCGCCGTCACTCCTTCCCGCCCCCTGTGACCTTGCCGGCCCCGGAGCCGCGTGCCGAGCTGCGGCCCCGTTTCCCACCGCCCATCACAGCCGCTATTCACAGTGGCCAGCCGGCTATCATTGCGGCCGCTGACATGTGTTGTGTCGGCCGGCGCGTGTGCGTTGTGTAACGGGCTCGCGGCCGCCCCCGGGGCGGCACGTCGGCGCGGCCGGCGCCCGGCACGCGACCCCAGCCCTGACCCCACACCCGTTCCGCGCGCCCCGGCCGCCGCCGCCGCCGCCGGCAGAAGGAGACCAGAGGTCGCGACCCGCAGCGCGCCGCCGCCGCGTTTGTTAACCTGCCGTGTGCCAGTGAACTCGGCGGGCGGTTGTTACCGGTCGCGACCGACGCCGGATCTGAGGCTGGCCGCGCGCGCGGCCACGGCGCGCCAGCCGCCGTGGCCGGGTAACAGCCGAGACGGCCGCGCAGCCGAGCGGCACGTGCGCCCGGCGCCGAGGCGCTGAGAGGCGCGCCGAGGCACGCGGCACGTGTCACGGCCCGCTCGACGAGTCGGCCGCGCTGTGTCACAAACCGGTGCGAACGACAAGGGACTGCTGAAAGTCGGACGAAGAAAGCTGGTGGCGGCAGCTCGGTGTCATGATGAATCGTAACACGCTCGTCGCGCGTACGGCAGTGCTTGAACTTCCGCCTCAGGCCGACGGCCGTGACGTCATCACGTGACGTCATCAGCCGAGTACAGAGATCTTTGCACGGCTGTCTTCAGCGGCGCTGTCGTCGATTCCTACCACTATACACAGCATCATCACACGCCTACCTTGTCTTCGCTTGCCTGCCTTCTGTCTGTCTGTCCCTCGTTTGATAACGTCTCTCCTCATCCCCAGGGCGTCGCGGAGCAGGCGCGGGTCGAGCCCCCGACACAGAGTGCGTCGGAGCAGCGAGATGAACGTCGGATAGAGCGAGAGCCGTCCACGGGCGCGTCGAATGCTCTGCTCTCGTTCGGCCGTCTCCAGACATGACTGAGGTAAGTGGCGCAGCAGAGGCCTCCGGCAGTGCGTGCCGCACGCCGGCCATTTTCGTCGGTGCGTGCGGTACCGTCATCGATCCCCTTCATTGTCTGTCATTGTCGGTGCCAACAGTATATGTCATGCCCCAGCCCGTCACCGTCATGCCATTCATTGAGTTTTATAGCGAAGTTAAGCCTGCCCACCTCGTCTGCATTTCCTGCTGTCGTTGTGTGTTCTTTGTTTGCAATCCCGTCCGTCATTATCTGCTGTTTGTCTGTCGTCCAGTCAGTCTTTGTTCTGTGTCTGCGATGACGTACTCATTGTCTGTCTCATGTGTCTGCAGTTCTAACAGACCGTCTGTCATATATCAACATTTCAAACTGTTTGTGTCGATGTCCGCAGCTTCCGCACCGCTCTCCGAACCAGTGTGGAAGAGGTGTGTGACTCAAGTATAGCCTAACTCATCGTGACGCAGTGTTCAGTCCGGCTCATCGTGACGCAGTGTTCAGTCCGGCTCGTCGTGACCCAGTGTTCAGTCCGGCTGGTCGTGACCCAGTGTTCAGTCCGGCTGGTCGTGACCCAGTGTTCAGTCCGGCTGGTCGTGACCCAGTGTTCCGTCCAGCTGGTCGTGATCCAGTGTCCAGCCCATATCGTCGTGACCCAGTGTTCAGTCCGGCTGGTCGTGACCCAGTGTACTGTCCGACTAGTCGCGACCAAGTGCTCCGTCCAGCTGGTCGTGATCCAGTGTTCGGCGCGGCGCGCTCGCCCCGCCTGCGGCGACACTCTCTGTCGGCACGCCTGACCGCCGGGCGCGGCCGGCCGGCGCGCTGCCGGCTGTGTCGTGCGCGCCTTATCTCGCCTCGCCGCCGGCACGCGCCGCCCGTAACAAAGACCGGTGCCGTACCGCGCCGCGGCGCCGGCGCCGGCGGCGCACGTCGATGGCGGCGGCGCCGCCGGTGCGGTGGCCTCTTTTGACGCGGCGCCACCGGACGTAAGACAGCCTTTGAGTCGTCGGCGGCGGCCCGGTGGACTATGCGCGATAACGAGACGGGAGCCGTGAGGCGTGCCGGCCACTGTGGGCCGTGTTTACTGAATGGGTCGGCCCACCCGGAAGGCCGTTGTTGTGCGGCGGGCGAGGCGGCGCCAGCGGGCACCACCGGCGGATTTTATGCGCGTCACATCTCGTTGACCCGGATTCAGCCGGTGGCCCGCTGTCGAGGAGTTTGGGAGCATAGCTGAATTAATTGGCAATTATGGGCCTGGCTGAGGTGGCGGCGGCCGCCGGCGGCGTCCCGCCCGGCCCCGCCGGGACGGGCGGCGCGAGCGGGTTGTGCGACGCACAGTGGGCGGCAGGCGGAGGCTGTGGTGCCGGCCGGCCGCGCGCGCTGGGAGCGGGCTGACCGGCCGGCCTCGGGCGTCACGCCCGTGACGACCGCCGGCTTACTCCGCTCCCAGGGAGCTTGTGACGCTCCGCTCGGCCGCGATCTGACCGGCGCTGGAGCGGCTCCTTCAGCGTCACGTGATCGATGGTTTGTTGGCCGGTCAGGGTCAACAGGAGCGCTGGCCAGTGACTCATGTGCACACAAATAATCACGGCACTGGTGTCATCTTGGGGCCAACGACCTCAATGCGAAAGACAAAACCAAACAAGAGCGAAGATCCGCCGGGATCTGGCGGGCCGTCCCTCCATCTGGCGTGATATTGTTACATCATTCTCATTGGTATGCACCGCTGTCACGCATTGTTCGGCGTTTCCCTGGCCAGCTGCTCTCGGCGCTCGTTTCCTCTCGTCGCGCCTCCGCTCGCACTATGTCAGTAGGTCACTTGTTTATTCACAACGTCGCGCGCGCAACCAGACGTCGGTGCGTGGGCTGACGAGGGCGGGGCGCCAAACGAGCGCCAGACTGCCGCCAGGTGAGCGCCAGTTCTGCGCGCGTGCGCCAGCTACCCGGCGTCCCAGATCGGAAATCCGGCTCGTAATGTGTGTGCCGTGGGCGGCTGGCTGAGCGGCGGCGCTCCTGCCTGTGCCCGGCTGCGCCGTCTCTGAGCCGGGAGAGGGTGGCGTCCGAGGCCGGCTCGGCGGCGGGCGGGCGGTCCGCCGCGCTCGGGCTGGCTATCCCTGACCCGGACCGGAGCTCGGTGACCGGCCCCGCTCCACGTGTCCACGTGCGGGGCGCGCGTCACGCGCGCGGCGGCGCTGCAGACGTGCTCGCCTGCAGCACTCGTCACGAGACGCCACAGCTTATCACCGCGGCCGCGGCCGCCAGCGGGCTGTGAGGTCACGCTCGGCCCTGCCCCCTCCCCCTCCCCCTCCCACCCCCTGCTCGGCCTCCCGGGCGGGCTGGGGTGCAGACAGGGCGAGCCCCAAATGAACACCAACAGGGCTTCGTTGTCTGTTTATCTGTTTAATGCAGACACGACGCCTGGACCGCTTGCAGATGCGCCCTGCAGAAAGTGTAAGTTGGCGCGCGTCGCTTTCAGTCGTTACACCGTTAACGACCGCATGGCGCCGCAGTGCCACCCCCTCTGCAGAACAGCGGGCGGCGTCTGCTCGCCGGGATGACGCGGCGACACTTACCGGGGCGCCGCCCCGCCGTCCACCTCCTCCCCCCACTAAACCACGCATCGCTCGCCGCTCGTCGCGTAACGGCGCGGCGCGTCGCGTAATTGCGCGGCGTTCCCAGCGCGGCGCGCGCCCCCGGCTGCCCGTCCACGCACGCACCGCGCCCGGCGCCGCGTGCACGTGAAGTATGTCGTGGAAACGTGCCGCTGCACGGCGGCCGTGCAGCGGCGGGCCTCCGGCGCGACGCCCCGGGACGAAGCCCCGGAACATGCGGCGGCGCTCATGCGGACATGTCCGTGATCCAATTGCGATCGTGCGGCTTGCGTGAGATCGCGAACGCCGGATTACATTGAGCTTATGGATTGATGGGTGTGCGGCTACTGGTAGGCTTCGAGTCACTGCGCATGCGCTGTGCTTGACTCTAGACGGATAACAACGCGGTATGACTGGCTTTGACGCGGAGTTTTCCCGTCCGGCGATCCACAGTGCCGCGATCTCTGTCAATAGCATGGCGACATGGTTGTCTGCGTGCATTGCGTGCCTGACTGCGACATCTCAGACCGATGACTTCGCCTAGCTCCACGGTGACTGCCGCTCCCAGATAGGCGTCGCGGCCAAGAAACTGGCCGTCATGGTCTGATGGCACATCATTCAGTAGCTGAGGCTCGGTCTCTTCCACAGCCAGCTGCCGCCGGAGGGTGCTGGTAAGCTTGTCCGTTGTTCGGCCTCTGTGCTCGGTGTTCCCTTCTTGTTTCGGTGCTGTTCGGTTACCACCAATCGGATCAACGACACTAAGAGGATGTAGACCTGCGCCACTTGTTCTGGATCGGACCAACGACATTTTGAAATCTGGGCTCGACCTCGCACAAATCACTTGCTCGGTCAGCTGACCTATCACTAGGTTGCGCAACGTTTAATGCTCAACAACCGCTGGCCAACGTTCAGATATCACCCAAACTTTCCAACAACTGCGGTCCAGAGTGCAGAATGTATTGTATGGTTACCATCGTCCCATGTCCAGCGGTTCAGTCCAGCGAAATTATCCCGTCATCCGTCGGCTCCCCACTGTTGTTTACTATTCACTGCCCGGCTGCGCTGCTCACATCTCTGTCCTCACTGTCCATTGTTTCGGTTCCTCACCACTTACGCTGTCCATTGTTCATTACTCAATGCGCGCCGCTCAGCGCTCAGAACCCGACTACCCGACCTCAGTCTTCAACCGAATACGATCCCAGTAGCGCACACACGCAAAACCACCGCCGGTCAACAGCGCCAGCGGCGGGCTCGCTATGTGCCGGCCTGCACCGACACTACGGCAGCGGGGGGTTGGGGGTGGGTGGGGGGGGGGGGATCCCACCGAGCGCGTAACCATCGAAGACGAGCGCTTCCGTCAGTTGGGTGTGGGGTTTGGACGGGCTCCGTCTTCCGGATGTGGTTTGATCTTGGATGCGCCGCATCTCCCGGGGCTGAATGACTCGCAGGCGCTGCGGTGAACGGCGGTCAAAGCACATTTCCCACGCCAGCTGTTGTTGACACCCGCTGTTGTAACGCTTTGTAATTGCGCAGTTTGCATCAAGAAATGAATAAGCAGAGCATCGCCAGTTTATGATCGCCCAGCTCGCAGAAGTATCTAAATGGTCAACGAAGCTCATCATTGGCCACATTGGTCCTGTTCCTGGGCTGAACTTTCTCGGAATGATAAATGATGTGTTTTCAAAATGACTGAGCTTCATTGCATGACTCACAAATGTGTAGAATCTTAACCCCTTTTGTCCATTCTGTGGTGTTCTCATGCATGCAATTTTGGTTGGAAAACCTGCATGCACATGTTGGCGTTATGACGTCAACAGGAATCTTTGGGTAGCTAGGTAGTAATGCTGTTGGAGACATGTCATATTCCCGCAAGTGTTAACTGAGTAACACGCCCCTGATTTTGCGATTCAGCTTGCATTGGGTGTTGCATTCAGTCCGAACACGCCATCGAGATAACGCATTCTAACAAAGAGCATCTGGCTGATGGCAAGATGGCATGCGATACATTTAGCATCACTTTGGCTTCAAGCAGGGCAGAGAAGAACATCTTGCTCCTCAACCACCAAGGCGGCCAAATGTTTTATGCTTCTAAAACACAACTAAAGTACCAACAAAATGATGATTTTGGAAGTCTGCTTCATTTTCGATTCAGATAAGCGTGTTCTCATCATGTGAGTGAACTCATTGATGGTTTAAAGGGCGCCCGGAAATTGATCAAGACGAACCTCGCGCTACTGCGCATGCGCAAGAAGTGTAAGTAAAAATAATCGGATTACTTGCGCGCACGCTTTTGCCTTCTCCGTGGGCATTACTACACAAGTCTGGTACACTTACATGTAGGTTTAATTCAAAGCTGATAGGCCGTTTATTCCAAATTATGTCCTTAGCGTTGTGCCGAGAATTCTCAAGACAGTTCCACAA